CACCTACAATTGAGGAGATCAGCATGGTCATCAGACAAATCGAGAGAGGGAAAACAGCAGTACCAGACAACATTCCAGCAGAGGCAATGAAAGCAGATGTGGAAGCAACTGCGAAAATATTTCACATACTCTTCAAGAAAATTTGGGATGAGGAACAAGTACCATCAGATTGGAATGAAGCATACCTCATCAAAATACCAAAGAAATGCGATCTGAGCAAGTGTGAGAACTACAGAAGCATCACTCTTCCCTCGATACCACGCAAAGTGTTCAACAGGGTATTGTTAAACAGAATGGAGGACTTCGTAGACGCCCAACTTCGAGATCAAGAGATTGGATTTCGTTAGGATCTGTCTTGTACCGACCAAATCGCAACGTTTCGGATAATTGTGGGACAATCAATAGAATGGAACTCACCACTATACATCAACCTCATCGACTACGAGAAAACAATGTTTACGAAAATTAATTTTGAAAAATAATTATATTGGTAGATTTGGTTTGTCGTGTTGATGATGAATTGACCTTTATTTAGATGACCATTGAACATTGTAAATACCGGAAAGCTATCTATTCCTAGTACGTGGTTCTAGTTAGGAAGTTTGATATGCATACAGTATTTTTAAGATGCTTGTAGAGCTTGATCTAATCTAATGGATGATACAACCAATAGCAAATAGTATGCGAAGTAATGACGACAACACTAGAATGCAACGATTACCAGATAACAGAATGGATTTTGCCGTTAGGCTTCGAAGAGAATTATTAGACATTCTACCTGAAATTTCTGATCAAAACGATAAGAATAAGTGTTGGTGTTATTTGAGAACAAACGACCAGTAACCATTCAATATTAATTTAGAACAACACATGTGAGAGAACAATATTGTTTTCGATTAGATCGTCATCAGGCTTTACTCTCTAATATACATGAATATTTATAGCTGAATATGTTAAACCAATCAAGGCAATTTGAAATAGATTACGTCACTACACATAATAGGCAAAAGTACAATTTGATAGTAGGAAGGAAGACAGGTGTACTGATAGTAGTAAGAAAATTATAAAATACCATAACAAACGTTTCATCAATAGTAGGTGAAACGTGGATAAATAGACTTCAGATAATCATTACAAAACATTAAAACCATGTCCTGCAGAGTACCGCAGGCCACATCTCCGTTGAATTGTATGTAGTTTAATAAATAGAGGCTTCTTTCGAACGGTCCAAGTCTCCGGCTTCTTTTTTACATCTTACATATACTTTAAGAACACACTAGGGTAGCCGATCTCGGTCAGTGAGCTGTTGATAAATTCCAGCTCCTGATTTAAAGTATCCATTGAACAGATCATTTTTGTTCTGCTAGTGAGACATCTAACCTAATTTCTTTTGTAGCGGATAGGTGTAAAACTACAATGCGAGTTTAGTGGCAAGCAGAGGGATTTTTTCTATATACGCTTCTACTTAGCGAGTCATCACTTCGCCTACTTAGTGTGACGTCAAGGAAAGTCAGATGTTCGCCAGTGAAAGTGATTGTCGGATGTACAGTGTTGAATTGTTCTAAGAGTTTTTCTTTGCTGATGTCCTGATCCACAATGATGAGTGTGTCATCGACGTACCGGCAGTATAGATTAAGTTTCTGAACAGCTTCATTCAGTGATCCATTTTCTAGCTTTGCTAGGAAGAGTTCAGCTAGAATTGAGCCTAGAGGTGAACCCATGGCTATGCCGTCTATTTATCTATAATAAGTGTTGTTGAATACGAAGTAGACTTTCGTCGTACATCTTAGTAGCAATTCTCTAGGGCAATCAATCTTCAGGCAAGCCAATGTTGATTTTTTTTCCCCTAATTTGCTTGAATATGAATTCAATAGTCTCAAGGAGTGCTACGTTAGTAAACAAAGATACCACATCCAGTGAGATCATATTTTTCATGCTAACATTCATATTCTCTACTTTGGAGGTGAAGTCAAAAACGTCTATTAAACTCCTTCGTACAACTGATTTATGCAAAGGCTCTAAAATTCGCACTGGCCACTTCTCAATTTTGTAGTACGCAGAATTGAACATATCTAGAACTTGGAGTAGAGGAAGACCCGATTTGTGAACTTTTAGCAAACCGTATAGTCGTGGTGTATAACATCCAATAGATTTAATTGAGTAGTGAATTTCAGGCGTAATTATTGCCTTTTTCTTTAGTTCCTTGAGAGAATTCGTCAATTGTTTTTCCACATTTTTTTGATGTAATTATTATTACTGGTGACGTTTTGAAACTTTCTAAGATCATCAAGCATTTCTTCCATTTTATCTATGTAATCAGTTTTATTCATTGGAACTATACGTCACACCTTATCTGGTTTGCTCATGATGATCAACGTTTCATCTTTGTTGAGTTTTGTTAAAGCGTCACGGTGCATTTTTGTGAAAAGGCGATTTGTGGAACGCTTGTTATTCCTAAATTGTAGGCAGTTATCGACTTCACATCGGTATCTAGTTGATTGATTTTCTGCCCATTATCACGAAATTTAGGCCCAAAGGACAAATCTTCTAAGCGTAATACATCAAGTTCAATATCCGAAAAATTATGTACATACCGAGTCGGATCAAGAGGAAGTTCGTTTTCTGGTTTACGGTTTTGCACAGTTTTCACTAGTTTTTTCATTGTCTTCTCAAATCTGTTCTTAGAAACTTTGTCGACATTGTCCATAAATATTTATTTAGTTGGTTAGTTAGTTAGTTAATTATTATGAATAGTAGGATTATTCTTGTAGCTCAACAGATCTGAACATACACTCTATGCTTTTTTGCACAAATTACAAGGTGCATTGAGAACAATCAAACGAGTGTTCATGCAAATAACAATTTGGGCAATAAAAGAATAAAACATTCGTGTGAAATTTAAATATAAATTAGTCATTTTTTATAAATTATGATAGAACATTCTTCTCACAGTTCTATCAAAACATTCGTATGCATTATTTAGTCTAATGTGTGAAAATAATGTCTGATAATTGGTTCACTGTTTATGAGTAAGATAATGCAATAAATCGCAGAAATGTATGTAGGACGAAATATATCGAAATTACATAAAAATTAACTGAATACGACTTTGTACTGGACGGTCAATTAAAATAACTAATTATTCAGTTATTATTTTTTATATTATCAGGGCTTCCTAATTTTCACTGTATATCTAGTTAGGATCCATATTTCTCCAAATTTTAACAAAGTACCAATCACAGGAACTATTCAAGGTATATATAAATGTTTATCGATAATATTGATACACGCTGTCGGGTGTAAGCAGTGACTACCAAAGACAAATGAATGAGGTCGCACAAAAACATCTGTAAATTGGTCAGCGTTAGACAAGAACACGATTGAATGGCGGCTTTGTCAGTGGTGCAGAGTTCAGGCGTTTGCGCACAAGACCGAAGCTCCTTCGTTTGAATCCTGTGAGGTTTGTTAGTTGTGGATGCGCACTGCTGATGAGTCACATACCAGGTCAGTGCTTCCAGGTTTCTAACAATGGTCTAATAATGATTGATTGATGATTTCGATGAATAAAAACACTAATCTGCATAGATTTTTATAAATATATGGAGGTGGTGTTTCGATCTCTGAGCTGGATGTTTCGATTGTGGAGCTTTCATTGTTCTTCTGAACAACATCATCAGCACAAACCTCAGATATATATATATATATATATATATATATCCACTTATTAGTTGGAAGTCAGTTTAAAACAGTAAAGCCTATTTTCGTAGATAATATTGTTGACTCCAGTAATTTCATTAAGTTAAAATGAAACAATTGTTAATCTTCAACTGGTTCACTGCGTCTAGTTGTGAATGGAAAACAACTAACTGACTGGTTTGTCTGTGGAAGTCTAAAATGTTAAATGTTATGTAAACAGTTAGAATGGTAAACACCGTCATCATATAGTGTAAAACTATTCAATCTTTACGAATTGTTCACTGTTCACAGAAATATTATTTCTATTCAACCACTGACATGGATAAAATCAGATTCCAATCGCAATATGTTAGCGATATAAACCATTTTTGTTTGAATATCAGTTACGCAAGAAGACCGACCATCTCATCGAAGATCCAGTTCAGTTAAACTCATTACGTCCAGAAGGTTCCCTGTTTCTATCGCAATACATGAAATCCTTAATTACAGATTCTGCTGAAATTATTAAAGCGTTTTATGTGGTCGATCAGTTAGTGCCAGTGTTGACAACAACCCTGTCTTTTCTATATTGCCTTAGTTCCTTAGACATGCAAGAGAGAGAGAGTGAGAGCATTTTGCGATGATCTGATTTGTTTATGATATCTTTTAACAACTGAAATATAATGAATGGACATCTTTCTATCTATTTGATAAAAATTATGGATTATAAATTTGATGAAATTTATTCTGGTTATCTCTCTTACTTTGGTTGAAAATATAAGAATGAACAATAAACTAAACTGGGAAAGTATAAATTCCTATTTTTGACAAATAAATTATGTAACGGTTAAGTAGTTTACTGATTATAGGATAAAAAATGATCATGAGGTATTTCATTTCGTAAACTGCAGTGGATCCTGTTCATTTCTGCTTTTTGAATTTCCCTCAGTGTATTGACTAGCAAATACCGAAATGAATAGACATATATTCACCACGTTTTTACGTCTAACTTCTAACTGAATATAACTGAAGCTTTCATCGTTCTTCTGAACAACATCATCAGCACCAACTTTAGATGGAAGTGAAGTATTGGAATTTCGCCACGTTTCACCTGTAGCTTGTTCTGCAAACCTCAATCTTGATTGGTTGCTGTTGACCTTAATCCTGTTGTTGTTATCACCTTTGTTTTGACTAAATCCCCCTTTCGCTCTCTTTCTTGATCCTACGTCAACCATGATTCTTCTGATTAGATTAGAGTTTTAACATAGAATGTAATTGTTGTGTTTAGAACAATTTCTTAAATATTCCTTTCTCCAATTGTTTTCATGCAGGACTGTCCTGTAATTACACCTCCTGAGAATGTTGCAAATGAAAGTGTGAGTTTTCTTCCATCTAACAGAAAATTGTTTTTCTGGTGTCATTTGTAGTTGAAAATGTTCCTCACCTAGTTTCTCCTTTCGATAATTTGTTTTGTGTTGTGATTGTTGACCATTATTAGATTAGGTTTTTACCATAGAATGTAATTGTTGTGTTTGACACAATTTATTAAATATTACTTTATCCAATGCCCTTTATACAGATCGGTGCGGAGTCACAAACGGAAGATGTGACTGGAAGAGGAGTGAGTAACGTTAATTTTAATCGAGTTTTTTGCTTTGTGATTGTTGACGATACTTAGATTAGAGTTTTAACATAGAATGTAATTGTTGTGTTTAGAACAATTTCTTAAATATTCCTTTCTCCAATTGTTTTCATGCACGACTCTACTGTAATCCCACCTCTGAGGACTGTTGTAACTGAATGTGTGAGTTTCCTTCCATCTAAAAAGACATAAATTTTATGTGTATTATTTTTGTAACTGAAAACGATCCACACCTAGTTTCTCGTTTCGATTGCATATTCTATGAAACAAACAGGAAATTGCATTGAAACACAGTTATTTGAAATGAGTTCTCTTACAACTTACGTGTAACTTCATATAAGTAAAAAAATGCATTGATAAATTGTTAGAATGTCGTGTCACTAGTAATTGCAATAATCCTACTAATTTTGTAGACTAGTTGTTTAATCTATATCCACTAGCACTGTTCGATCACGTTCATCGACAATTTGATCTGCAATTATTAGCTGGTATATTATTTAGTATTTGTCACTTTCTGATGAGAATAGTCACGGGAGTTCATGAGGAACATAGTAGAATACGTAGAAAACTTAACAGAATAATGGTTAAGTGAAATAAACGTAAGACAAAAAGAAGAATCTCATTCTGTTTTTAAAGATTAATTTCAGATCGATTCCTACGTGCTTAAATATAATAACAGGAAATTGGATCATTTTATTTGGGTTTTATTTCTTGGCAACCTGGAAATAAGTATTCATCAGAAATCTTATTAGATGTGCTTAAAAAATGTCCTAAACAAAAACTTTTTTCCAATACATTTCATACAGATCAATCCAGATGAAGTAAATTTATCACTTTCTGATGAAAGCATGGTAAGTATCATTATGCTTTACTTAAAAATGCATCTATGTTTCATTTGCAATTGAAAACGTTTCTCAATATTTGAGCAGTGATCGTTTGTTTAGCGTTGTGTTTGTTGGACACATTTCGATGAGAATTTTAACATACAATGTAATTGTTGTGTTTGACACAAATTCCTAAAAATATTCTATTTTTCAATTCCTTTCATACAGGTCATTTGGAGAAGGCTAGCAGGCGAAATCGCCGCTAGAAAAAGAGTGAGTAACATTACATTAAAATTTAAAATGATTTTCATTTGTCAATTGCAATTGACAATGTTTCTCAATATTTGACGATAATGTCACCCTGTTTCTCGTTTCGATTGCATTTTCTACGAAACAAATATCAAATTGCATCGAAACATAGTTGTTGTTTGAAATTAGTTCTCTTACAACTTGTGATTGTTGTATTTGACACAAATTCTTAAATATCTCCTTAATCCAATGCTTTTCTTCCAGTCCTCATTTTCATGCCCTTGGTGAAATAACCAGGGCCTTAAGATTTGTAAGTCATATTATGTTAGTGTTTAAAATTGTTTTCATGTGTTTTTGTTATTGAAAATGTTCCTCAGCATTTTGCAGATAACACAGTTTCTTATTTCAATTGCTTTGCTTTTTTTGCTTTTTTCAGAATTTCAACGATTCTTTTATTGTTTCATGGATCTGTTTAATACTAAACTTATTTTCTAGTGATTTTGTAATTTTGTATTTTTATAGTTTTGTTAAAATCAGTTAAAATATAAATTATTTCCTGCTTCACCTTGTGTTTTGATGTTCGTTGTAACGTTGAAACACACAGTTGTTAAGTGATTGTGAACATTGGTGGGTAGTGAAATCAAGAGCAATGATGAGTAACAGTAGACAACTGTTCCACTTAGGCAAGGAAACCGGTATTAGAAATTGGGCGTCTTGGTGTAATCGAGGCAGTCAGCAGTACGAGCTCGCCCTGAGACCTTGAGTAGCTGCTTTTAGTCTCATCGTTCTCCAATCGACCTGCCTGGCATGATAGAACTTTCAGGAACATATGTTCCAGCCAATATAGCTCTGTTGGGTCATCAAGATAGGCAAGCCCGACCACCATGTCAAGGTAGCAGCTTCGGTCGGGCCGAGATAAGAGTGTGTCAGTGAGTCCCATCCCCGCAATCTTCGCGATTAGGAGTGCGTGGTATACTGTGTTGAAGTACCATCAGACTGGAAACAAGCATACCTCATCAAAATACCAAAGAAAGGCGATCTCAGCAAGTGAGAACTACAGAGGCATCACTCTTCTTTCAATACCACGCAAAGTCTTCAACAGAGTATTGATAAACAGAATGAAGGACTTCATAGACGCCCAACTTCGAGATCAACAGGCTGGATTTCGTAAGGATCGATCGTGAACCGACCAAATCGCAACGTTACGGACAATTGTAGAACGACCGATAGAATGGAACCTACCACTATACATCAACCTCATCGACTACGAGAAAACAATGTTTACGAAAATTAATTTTGAAAAATAATTATATTGGTAGATTTAGTTTGCTGTGTTGATGATGAATCGACCTTTACTTAGATGACCATTTAACATTGTAAATACCGGAAAGCTATCTATTCCTAGTACGTGGTTCTAGTTAGGAAGTTTGATATGCATACAGTATTTTTGAGATGCTTGTAGAGCTTGATCTAATCTAATGGATGATACGACCAATAGCAAATAGTATGCGAAGTAATGACGACAACACTAGAATGCAACGATTACCAGATAACAGAATGATTTTGCCGTTAGGCTTCGAAGAGAATTATTAGACATTCTACCTGAAATTTCTGATCAAAACGATAAGAATAAGTGTTGGTGTTATTTGAGAACAAACGACCAGCAACCATTCAATATTAATTTAGAACAACACATGTGAGCGCACAATATTGTTTTCGATTAGATCGTCATCAGGCTTTACTCTAATATACATGAATATTCATATGAATATGTTAAACCAATCAAGGCAATTTGAAATAGATTACGTCACTACACATAATAGGCAAAAGTACAATTTGATAGTAGGAAGGAAGACAGGTGTACTGATAGTAGTACGAAAAATAAAATACGATAACAAACGTTTTATCAATAGTAGGTGAAACGTGGATAAATAGACTTCAGATAATCATTACGAAACATTAAAACCATGTCCTGCAGAGTACCGCAGGCCACATCTCCGTTGAATTGTATGTAATTTAATAAATAGAGGCTTCTTTCGAACGGTCCAAATCTCCGACTTCTCTTTTACATCTTACATATACTTTAAGAACACACTAGGGTAGCCGATCTCGGTCAGTGAGCTGTTGATAAATTCCAGCTCCTGATTTAAAGTCTCCATTGAACAGATCATTTTTGTTCTGCTAGTGAGACATCTAACCTAATTTCTTTTGTAGCGGATAGGTGTGAAACTACAATGTGAGTTTAGAGGCAAGCTGAGGGATTTTTTCTATATACGCTTCTACTTAGCGAGTCATCACTTCGCCTACTTAGTGTGACGTCAAGGAAAGTCAGCTGTTCACCAGTGAAAGTGATTGTCGGATGTACACTGTTGAATTGTTCGAGGAGTTTTTCTTTGCTGATGTCCTGATCCACAATGATGAGTGTGTCATCGACGTACCGGCAGTATAGATCAAGTTTCTGAACAGCTGCTTCATTAAGTGGTCGATTTTCTAGCTTTGCTAGGAAGAGTTCAGCTAGAATTGTGCCTAGAGGTGAACCCATGGCAATGCCGTCTATTTATCTATAATAAGTGTTGTTGAATACGAAATGGACTTTCATCGTACATCTTAGGAGAGATTCTTTAGGGCAATCTTCAGGCAAGCCAATGTTGATTTTTCTTCCTTAATTTGCTTGAAAATGAATTCGATAGTCTCAAGGAGTGCTACGTTAGTAAACAAAGATACCACATCCAGTGAGATCATACTTTTCATGCTAACATTCATATTTTCTACTTTGGAGGTGAAGTCGACAACGTCTATTAAACTCCTTCGTACAACTGGTTTATGCAAAGGCTCTAAAATTCGCACTGGCTACTTCGCAATCTCGTAGTACGGAGAATTGAACATATCTAGAACTTGGAGTAGAGGATGACCCGATTTGTGAACTTTTAGCAAACCGTATAGTCGTGAGGGCTGTATAGGATCAAATTGATTTAATTGAGTAGTGAATTTCAGGCGAAATTATTGCCTTTTTATTTCGTTCCTTGATAGGATTCATCAATTGTTTTTGCGCATTTATATTGGTGTCATTATTACTGGTGACGTTTTGAAACGTCCTACGATCATCAAGTATTCCTTCCATTTTATCTATGTAATCAGTTTTGTTCATTGCAACTATACGTCACACTTTATCTGGTTTGCTCATGATCAACGTTTCATCTTTCTTGAGTTTTGCTAAAGTGTCACGGTGCATTTTAGTGAAAAGGCGATTTGTGGAACGCTTGTTATTCTTAAATTGTCGGAGGCAGTTATCGACTTCACATCTTTATCTAGTTGATTGATTTTCTGCCGATTATCACGAAATTTAGGCCCCAAGGACAAAGCTTCTAAGCGTAATACATCAAGTTCAATATCCGAGAAATTATGTACATACCGAGTCGGATCAAGAGGAAATTCCTTTTCTGGTTTACGGTTTTGCACAGTTTTCACTAGTTTTTTCATTGTCTTCTCAGATCTGTTCTTAGAAGAAGATTCCTTTCCAAGTAGCGGATATTCATTTTTAAAAGTATCAATTTCATTAGACGCATGTGCTTCAAGTGTTTTTGCATTGGGATAGACTCTGTTCGGACGCAATCACTTCCAATATACTTTAGGATATCTGTTACACTGAATACAAGCAATGACAAATCCTTAGCTCGTTTTCGCTTCTGTGAGACGTGCATCAAAATTCAGGAACTGATTGAGTGCCTTGAATGCAACTGGATCCCCATATGATTTAAGAATATCAAAGAATCCCATTGTGAAAATTAGAAAAACACGTATAAACGAACAATATTGTTTTCAATTAGATCGTCATCAGGCTTCACTCCAATAAACATGAATATTTATATGAAAATGTTAAACAAATCAAGGCGATTTGAGTTATTTAATATTAATTTGGCTACGTTAAACATGCCTACTTGTCAGTAGTCTGAAACGGATGAGCAAAACGAGTGAATGACTATTGGTCAATGTATACATGCGTCAATATGTACGGAGGAAAAATATTTTGTTTTCAATAAATACTTATCGGGTTCTGCGATCATGTATCTGAGTTATTATTCCGAAAGCGGACACATTTAAGCCAACATGTCTACTCGTATGTGCGATTGCACGAACTTTGATTTGTAATTCGTTAGCTCTATCGAGCTAATCCTCACAGGATGCACAAAGTCGAAGAGACTGATCAGTTGCAGTCCGAAACATTGATCGGAAGATCCATACAACCAATACAAATTATTTAATCTTCGTCTCGCTACGCAACTCAGTAACTATCTGCAATCGGTAGGTAAGTGGAAAATGCGGTTGTGGTTGAAGCAAGTGGCACTGATTTCGAGTCTCGTAGTGAAAATCAACTGTGAGATTCAGTTGCATGCAGCCGACTAGTCTGAAATTGGATTCCACTGCTAGCTACTGTTTATTTCTGCTAGTTGCAAGAATGTGAGTTATTTCGCTGATAGTAAAATTTTTATGTCTTGATTATAAAATGTCCTGACTTAAAACATAATAATTTATTTACTTATCATCTAGAAGATATCATAAGCAATGAATTATCGAACATACTGTATTAAATAACTACAATATTGAGCACGAATATAAATCGTTGAAGAAAAATAGTTAGTTAGCTAGTTAGTTAGTTAGTTAGCTAGTTAGTTAGTTAGATAGATAGTTAGTTAGTTAGCTAGTTAGTTAGTCAGTTAGATAGATAGATAGTTAGTTGGTTAGTTAGTTATTTAGTTAGTTATTATGAATAGTAGGATTATTCTTGTAGCTCAACAGATCTGAACATACACTCTATGCTTTTTTGCACAAATTACAAGGTGCATTGAGAACAATCAAACGAGTGTTCACGCTAATAACAATTTGGGCAATAAATGAATAAAACATTCGTGTGAAATGTAAGTATAAATTAGTCGTTTTTTATAAATTATGATAGAACATTCTTCTCACAGTTCTATCAAAACATTCGTATGCATTATTTAGACTAATGTGTGAAAATAATGTCTGATAATTGGTTCACTGTTTATGAGTAAGATAATGCAATAAATCGCAGAAATGTATGTAGGACGAAATATATCAAAATTACATAAAAATTAACTGTATACGACTTTGTACTGGACGGTCAATTAAAATAACTAATTATTCAGTTATTATTTTGATCTTATCAGGGCTTCCTAATTTTCACTGAATATCTAGTTAGGATCCATATTTCTCCAAATTTTAACAAAGTACCAATCACCGGAACTACTCAAGGTATATATAAATGTTTA